AGCTTGGACAGACTGTATATCCCTTGTTGGGGCTGACGTCGTCACAGGATTTTATGATTAACAGCCCTTTTGAGAAACCTCGAGCACAGCACTTTCACGACCAACTGTCGTAGCAAGACTAAGTTCTTGTGCTTACAGTAAACTGCGGACTCTTGGATTCTGCTTCATACTGGAGAAGAGGATGTCACAAAAGATAAAGGATCGCCCTTGAACCTCAGAGGAGCCGGGTTCGAATCCGCATACCAAAAAATTAATTCCAAATAACCTGAGAAAGGAATTACCCATCTTGCTTCGGTGCATCCAGCGGAGAAACGGGTAGGAAGTGACGTTGATTAGGTAAGGTAAGATAACTTGGTGTCCTTGGGTGGTCATACCAAAACATGCGAGGCACATGACTACGCTGTCTGATACGCCTTTTAGGGCTGCAATTCAGTTCAACTCGCCTGACGGCCAATTAAATCAGCAAAAAGTAATATGCAAATAAAAAAGAAATAAACTGAAAATATAGGCCTCCTAATAGCACACTTAGATAATTTGCTCTGCAATACGAGCTATTATTAGCGATTAACCTTAGATCAACCACTGATTTTATCACTAGCAACCATGAAAGGAGTCAGACGATTAGTAGGAAGATGCATTTAAAAAATCTCCAATGACTTCGAGACTGGTTGTGAAACTCAATCGAGTGTTTTCAGCGATCGGAATAGATTCAGGAACGGAATACTGATCCATAAAACGTTGATATGCGCTAAAGCAGAATGTTCCAATACGAAGTGTCAATTGGAGGCCACAATTAAAGTGTAACTTTCTAAGGCTTTTCATGGAATTATAAAATTTATTAACAAGTTAATTAACAACTTGTGAGAATATAGGAAATCGTTTGCAATATAAGGCATATATCGTTTTCCCTGGCCACAAACACTGCATCTTAAGACATCGCACTGAGAAAAAAAGCATGTTAACCATCGGGTTAAACGAATTAGCAATTAAGCAATAAACTTTGAAATGCATTACCGGTTACAAAAGAAAATTCAACGGCGACTGATCCCTTGCTTTTAAAGCACTCCTGAATGACGCTTCTTAGCAAAAGATGGTCAACAGTAAGCATGAGGCTTTCAGGTCGAGTGTTTTTTGCCCACCAAGCAACGTTTGCTCCAGATCTCAAATCTAATACAGGGAATCTAAAATAACAATTAAATTATGAGAAAAAGACTACTAAATAACGTTAATCGCTTTAGCCAATGAACTTTTAGCATAAGCTAGCTTGTTTTCTATTCAGTGTGCCATATTTAGCCTATTTCGCTAACTACTCATAACAATAAGTAATGTCACCTATTCTCGCTATTACCAAGGCAGGGTTAAATGTCATCGAGAAAATTCACACAGAGTAAATAGCTGAACATCTCAGATGAATGCACTGGTCGAGAAATAAGAAGGAGTGGAAATCGAAGACAATGTAGTAACGGTGCTACGGCGATAAATTAACAATGAGATCTGTTCCTACTGAAAACTCCAGTGACGTGGCCAATGCATACCGCAGATCCTAAACGCTATAGTTTAATCATACCCAGGTGAGAAATGCGCGCTACTGTCATTACTTGACTATTGTTCTGAATAGGATTGGAGCAGAATGGATTTGATCTGTTGGGGTCACAAAGGGTTACGATATTCCTGTACTTCTCAACACTTGCCGTTGCTACTTGTCCAATACAATGTCTGATATGATTGCAGGCCAAACCATAAGTCAGAATTGGTTAGCAGTTTCTCGATATGTGCGACAGTTAATAGTCCGCTGTAGTCAATTCGTCCTTGGTACTATCTAATATGAATTTTTGACCTACTTCTCAGCATTATTCAGCACAATACAAATAACGGCGCGCTGATCGGCCGCTTATCGCTTAATCCTAGTGCATAGACGAA